AATATATTCTTGACTCCTATAAACCTGGAGTAAAGATGTTCAAGAATCTCTTGGATTGTATATTAGCCTATAATAAGTATATAAGTATATTCCCTAATTTCATTTAATTTAAATAAGAAAGTGTCCTTTTATCTCATAATCTTGAGGTAAGTTATTGTTTAATCTCAGAAAATTGAAGTAACAATGAACATTTTATTTTTTCTCATGATTTGGAGTAAACATTTCTTTGATCTCATGATCTGAAGTAGGTATTTCTTAACTCTCGTAACTCTTGAGTAGACATATTCATTAATCTCATAAACCTGATGTAAACATGTTGTTTGATCTTATGTTTGAGGACATTTCTTAAATCTGATAACCCTTGAAAATAAAAAAAAAATAAAAATAAAAATATAAAATTCCTTGATATCATAAACCTGAGGTAAACATTTACTTTCATCTTATGATCTGGAGTAAACATTTCTTTAATGTCATATACCTGCCAGTAAAAACATTCTTCGATCTAATAATCCTTAAGTAAACACATTCTTCGATCTCATAATCCTTAAATAAACATCTTCTTTAAGCTCAAAATCGCGAGTCACCTATATTCTTGAATCTTATAACCCTGAAGTAATCACATTTTTGAATCCTATACCCTGGAGTTGACATAATATTGAATCTAATAGACCTGGAAGTAACCATGCTCCTGGGTCTTATGATCCTGGCCGGAGTTAACCCATTTTTGAATATTTTAAATCTGGAGTAGCATTTCTTTAATCTCATAAAACTGCAGTAAACGCATTCTTTAATCTCATAATTTTTGAGTAACCAATAAAAAATCTCATGATCTGGAGTAACATTTCATTATCTCATAAACCTGTAGTACACCCATTCTTTGATCTCATAATACTTGAGAAAAAATTTCTTTTAACTCAAAAATCTGCAAAAATAATTATTCTTTTGATCTCGTAATCTGGAGTAACATTTCTTTGATCTCAAAATCTGGAGTAAACATTTTTTAAATCTCATAATCTGGAGGAAATAGATCTTTAACCCCATAATTCTGCAGTAAGCAAATGTTATTTGATCTAATAAACCTGAAATAACCCTAGTATTTAATCTCGTAACTCTAAAGTAAAAATATTCTAAATTCTTATAATCTATATAAACATATCATTTAATCTCATTTTGTTGGGCCAGAAAATCTGTTTTACTATTCTAAAATTTCTGACTAAAGGTCATATCTTTCTGAAAATTTGCGAAAATCGCCATAATCATTTGAACGACCATGAAAGATTAATGAATTTATCTATTTTGGTGTCAATTGTCGAGTTTAGCAGGTAAATGTTGACTCGATGTCGGACAAATCAATTTGTTGAAAGCTTTAGGTTTATGATGAAAGATATCTTTATAAATGAACATTTAAGAATTGAAAATTTCAAAATATCCAGCTACATATTTCGTATGTACAATGGATTTTAAACGGATAGTTTTAAACTAGAAATTGTAAATAAAGAATCTTGTTTTAATTGATAGCTGCTGTCAATTTTTTTTAAAAACTAAATTTCCTGGCAGAATTTCCTAGATAACCATTGTTCAGAAGATATACTAGGCCGAGGGTGGATATAGATCTGCATACGGATAAGCTTTGGCTCTGTGATCAGGTTTAAAGATTTAAGATACCAGTAAGAAGGTATATAGAAATAACGTTTATCAATCAATCAACCAATCGATCAGGTTTAATTAAAAATACAATACCAACCTTCACTATTTTCCGAAATCTCATAGACTTGAAGTAAATATATTCTCAAATTTCTTCTCCCTAAAATTAAAAATTTTTCCATTTATCTCATAAACCTCTGAGAGGACTGAAGTAAACAATGCACATTTATGTTATTCTCATGATCTGAGTAAATAATTCTTGAATCTCACAAAACTGCAGTAAACTCATTCTTCGATCTCATAATCGTTAAGTAAATATCTTTTTTAAGCTCATGATCTGGTGTAAACCTATTCTTGAATCTTATAAACCTGTGTTAAGGATACTTCTTAGATTATCTTCCTGAGCCCGTTCTCTCCTGAGAAAGTGGTCGTGTAGTTCACGTACTTTGGGGGACGATAAGTTGGCCGGTAGATGTTTCGTGCTGAATTCTTATCTGATAGATAGATATTTCTCCGTATATTTGACGACCAATATAGAAGACGTCAAGTGGTCGACAAATGTAGTTTATGGAAGGAACGGTCCTGTTGAAATAGCCATTTGAAAGACCGGTTCTGCAGCCTTCTTATCCCTATCATCGTGTCAATATCTCGGCCATAACTAAACTTGAATGATGGGCATGACGGCCATAAACTAACTTGAAAGGTGGGCACGACGGCCCTAAACTAACTTGAATGATGGACACGACGGCCATAACCTAATTTTAAAGATGGGCACGACAGCTATAAACTAACTTGAATGATGGGCACGACGGCCATAAACACTAACTTTGAACGATGGGCACGACGGCCATGAACTAACTTGAATGATGGGCACGACGGCCAAAAACTATCTTGAATGATGGGCACGACGGCCAAAAAACTTACTTACACAAGGCACGACGGCCAAGTAAAACTCTAAAAAATATCACTACAAGATAATTGTGTGAATGCTTATATATTCAAAATTTCCCGTTAAAAACTGACTTTCAGTACTGTGAACCATCCTGAAATAGTTTACATTTAAGCCCCTAGAACGTGTGGCTTTTGTCGGGCTGCGAGAAAAACTGATCTCGGAACAGACGCGGCAATAAAACAAAAAACAGATTTTCGTCGTCTTTTCTTGAATTTGAACTCGGACCTGCATTTTGTCCCTTGTCGCATTTCGCCATGCCTTTCCACCGAAATCATCACATTTTTCGCTTCGTTTTTGAGATTGTGAGGTACTTCGCGAAAAATGAAGAATTCGGTGTACAAGCATGTCTTTATGCGACCCGGGACTCAAGCATGTCCGAGTTTACCAAGAACGATTATAACTAAGCACAACTGACAACTCTTTACGTACATCCAGAGAGAGAGGTGCTCCTAAAACCGATGAGACTGCGTGCTGGACAGGCTGCACACCAAGCCTGTTGTCAGTTCTCTGATAGACCTGGAG